TACATATAAATTGGTTTGTGTGAATGTTTTAGCTTCTACAAACTATGGTATATATATTGGAATTTCCACAGCTTTTACTTTGTGACTGCCTATCACACTTCTTGAGGTTCTAAAATGCCATGGCAGTACAACCCCTCGCCCCCCCCCCCCCCCCCCCCGCCCAAATGACCCCTTTATGGAAGGTGGACACCCCAATGATTTTGCAGAGAGGCATGTTGAGTCCATGAAACATTTTATTTTTTGCCACAAATTTTTCGAAAATGAAATTTTCTTTTGTTTGTTTGTTTGTTACACAAAGTTCTCACCTAAATGATATATTGCTCATGCATGCCATGGGTATATGTGGAATAACACCTCAAAACACATTCTTCTACTTCTCCCGAGTATGGAGATATCACATGTGAGAGACTTTTTGGCAGCCTAGCTACATACAGGCCCCCAAGATCCAATGACCACCTCCAGGCTTTCAAAGGGCATATTTCCTCATATCACTTCCCCACTACCTATCACAGTTTCGGAGGCTCTAAAATGCCAGGATAGTGCAAAACACCCCCCCTCCAATTACCCCTTTTTGGAAAGTAGACGTCCCAAGGAATTTGATAAGAGGCATGGTGATTATTTTACAGATATAATTTTTGTCACAGGGTTTTGAAAAAGAAAAGAAAAAATCAGTTTTTTTGTTTTCTTTCTTCGGTTTTCCAAAAACGTGGCAACAAATGAGATCTGCAAACTACTCATCATGCCTCTTCGCAAATACCTTGGAGTGTCTACTTTCCAAAAAGGGGTCATTTGAAGGGGTTGCTTCTACTATCCTGGCATTTCAGGGCCAACATTAGAAGCTTATGCCACACACATCACACCCACTCTTGAAGACCAAGCCTTTTTTGACACCTTTTGTTCACATGAAAAAACTGTTTGTTTTTGTTTTTTTTTTTTCTAGAAAACTACTTTGAACCCCCAAACATTATATATTTTTTTTAAAGCAGAGGCCCTAGAAAAGAAAACAGTGGGTGTTCACATTTTTTACATCACAAAGTATTTGCACATTTTTCAAACGCAAATCTTTTGGGGAAAAATACACTTTTTTTGAATTTTAATGCACAAAAACACAATAAATGCCCAATCGTTTGATAGAATATAAAAGATGATGTTACGCCAAGTAAATAGATGCCAAACATGACATGCTTTAAAATTGCGCATACCCGTGCAATGGCAACAAAGTACATACATTTAAATACCCCCTGTGACTGCAATAGGCATTGACAGGTATTCCTTTTTTGAAAATCTGGGGTCTATTAGACTCTAGATATCTCCTCTGCCCTTTAAAGTATCTGATCTCCCCAAGATCGGTGTGATGAAATGCTTTCCCAATTTAAAAATGGCGTTGTTTATATCCTGCAAAACTAAAGTGATGAAATGCTCATAACTCCCGTTCTCTTAGACCATAGAGATGATTGGAGCCATTCTGGTTTTAGATCAGCTCTATGGTCAGCCAGTGGAACTGCCAGCTGTATTCTCGGATTCCCCTGTGGGACAAGAGCGCCCAAGAAAACTTTGGAAGGCAGCGGTGGTGGGGGAGGGGAATATGTCCCTTTCTGCTTCTTGTAAAAACAATTCAGCAGCTAATTAGCCACTAGAATTGTTTTTACATGAAAGCTGGCCGCCAGCTGAAATAAACGGTACCAGGATGATGCCTGTAGCTGCAGGCATCCTCCCAGTATATAACCACTCAGTCCAGCGACGTACTAGTACATTGCTGGTCCGTGTTGGGCATATATGTAACAGCAGAGAACACAAGATTATGATGATTGGGTCTATGGACCAATATGACCCCAATTTATTCTTTTTTGTTGTGGTGGTTTATGAGATAATTTATTCTAAATAAATTAGGCGGTGTCCGACTCCCTTAAACAATATATTTCAGTGCCTCCAGCTGTTAAATACAGCAAATAATTAATAAACCAATAATATGGACACCTTAATAATTTGATCACCACGCTATAAAGTTCTTTTCACCAATGTGATTTCTTACCATATATACAAAATTTGCCTTTTTGAGAAATAATTTATGTACAAATATTTTTATATATATATTAATACAAACAAAATTACTGGTGATGAGTATTTCCTTACACACAGTCAAAAATATATCACACTACCTTCTATGGTATAAAACACAATATATGTCTATCACCACAATGTAACAACAATTCTTAGAGGGGTTAGTATTAAATGATTAGTGCTTCAGATACAATTTCCTGTGGCCGTAGGGAAATAGGAAAGGATACCTGATAAAATGCACAGCAAAATACGTCAAATATGTTAGTACATTTATACAGTATATGATATCAGTACCCAAAAAGTTAGATCAATTATTACCCAGGTTATCTCCATACACCATGCAAATGATACAGATATGCGCAATATTGCTCTAACCAACACAATGATATATGATAAAAGCTCTAGTAAGTTTTAAATATATATAAAAGTTATGATGTTATGATACAGTTCTCACCACTCCCAGAATTGCGTTTTTATTTTTTTCTGAGGTCTTCCAGTGGGATGGTAGTTGGTAAAAATAAAATGTCTCTCATCAGTCAGGAACAAAAATTAAGATCAGCAGCAGAAAGTCTCTTCTTTGGCGAAAGGCTTCTTAAAAAAAAAAAATAAGTTCTTCAAAAATAAAATGGCAGCTGGAAGTTCTCAGCAGCAGGCAGAATCTTTGCAGAGCGTTTCAATATTAGGCCGAGTGTAGAGTCTTAGGCAGAGTCTTTGAATCTTGAATCTTTAGAATGCCTTTTGAATGTTTTTTTTTTTTTTTGTCTTGAGGGTCTCGCATATATAATATATATATATATATATATATATAATATATATGGTACAGGTCCATTGTTCTGAAAGACCTCCCAGGGGCTTGATGATTGGACGGTTAGAATTCTGTGTACTTTGGAAGTTCTTTACATGTCCACCAGGGGCAGTCATGTACCACAAATGAAATAATGACCTTAACCTCCTTGGCGGTATGATTCTTTCCGATTTTTTGGTGCTGAAAGCGGTACCATTTTTTTGCATGGAAATATGTAGTTTTTTTATTGTAGGCCTGTAATTTTTAGGAATAACTCGCTGAAATCTGTCCGAACAAGAGTCCAGTAAACATCCCGGGGTAGGATAAAATTTGAAACACATAATCATAAATTATAATTTAATAAATAATCATAAAAAATAATAATATAATAATAATACATTTAATTCAATAATATAATCAAACCAAAAACACTGAAATGTGAAATATAGCGCCAAGTTAGCACATTACTGAGCAAAGTTGCAAAATCGTTTTCAGTGTCTGATGACGAATTTCCCCACAAATCATTATCACTCAATTCTGCAAGTGGTTCTGATTTACTATCACTGTTCTCCTAGCTGATCTAAAACCGCTTTTGACCTAAAGGGACACTTTTTGGATGCCATAGACATTTCTCAGTTTCCAGGCAGAAAGAACAGACAAAATGCAGGCAGGCAAAGCATTAGGGACAAGATGTATGTGAAATTGGTTGAGACAGCAATGTTTTACTATGTAAAATGTAAAAAAAAAAAAAAAAGCCATTTTTTTTTTAATTTTTAAATTTCCTGCCGCCAGCGGCGTCCGTACGTCCCGACGTCACAGGGACAGGACACAGAAGCCGGATGCCGGCATCGGCCGGAGGAGATGGCCGGGGACGCTGCAGGGGACACATCGCGGGAGCGCAGGGTAAGGTAAGTGAAGAACAAATGCCGGAGCAGTGCCGCATGGTATTCCCGAGTGTAGCTCGGGGTTACCGTTTCTGGTACTGAAATGTTACCCCGAGCTACACTCGGGAATACCGCCAAGGAGGTTAATGATGACTCATCTTTTATCTGAAGTATGAAAAAAATTTAGGTATCCTGTTGAGGTATGAAAATGACTTTTCCAAATATCTTTTAATAAGGTCCATATATATTAGTAGATTTAGCGGCTCATCTTCTTAATATGAGAGCTGTGTTTTGATGTCTGATCTTTGTCCTGAAATGGCAGATCTCTTTATAATAATTCCATAATTTGTTATGGTATTAAATTTGATCTTGTACGCTTAATTCCAGTCCATCATGTGATATATGCCACCTCTCTCTACATCTTGATGCAGACACATGTGTTGCTGGATCTTTATTTTGAGAGAGATATATATATATATATTATATATATATAGATATAGATATAGATAGATATATATATATAGATATATAGATAGATATATATATAGATATATATATATATACCGTATTTTTCGCTCCATAAGACGCACCTGACCATAAGACGCACCTAGGTTTTAGAGGCAGAAAACTGGAAAAAAAATATTCTGAACCAATGGACTGCAGACATAGTACAGAAAATGACCAGAGACTGAAGACACAGTACAGGAGATGACCAGAGACTGCGGACATAGTACAGTAGTACAGGAGATGACCAGGGACTGCGGACATAGTACAGGAGATGACCAGAGACTGCGGACACAGTACAGGAGATGACCAGAGACTGCGGACACAGTACAGCAGATGACCAGAGACTGCGGACACAGTACAGGAGATGACCAGAGACTGCGGACACAGTACAGGAGATGACCAGAGACTGCGGACACAGTACAGGGATGACCAGAGACTGCGGACACAGTACAGGGGATGACCAGAGGCTGCGGACACAGTACAGGGGATGACCAGAGACTGCGGACACAGTACAGGGGGATGACCAGAGACTGGGGACACAGTACAGGGAATGACCAGAGACTGCGGACACAGTACAGGGGATGACCAGAGACTGCGGACACAGTACAGGGGATGACCAGAGGCTGCGGACAGTACAGGGATGACCAGAGACTGCGGACACAGTACAGGAGAGACCAGAGACTGCGGACACAGTACAGGGAATGACCAGAGACTGCGGACACAGTACAGGGAATGACCAGAGACTGCGGACACAGTACAGGGGATGACCAGAGACTGCGGACACAGTACAGGGAGATGACCAGAGACTGCGGACACAGTACAGGGGATGACCAGAGACTGCGGACACAGTACAGGGGATGACCAGAGACTGCGGACACAGTACAGGGGATGACCAGAGACTGCGGACACAGTACAGGGGATGACCAGAGACTGCGGACACAGTACAGGGGGATGACCAGAGACTGCGGACACAGTACAGGGGATGACCAGAGACTGCGGACACAGTACAGGGGATGACTAGAGACTGCGGACATACTACATCATATAAAGTCCCAACAGGGCCCCTCCACCCAGAATATCAAATGATCTGACACCATACATCAAGGAAAAGGACTAAAACTCCCAGCATCTGTCATTTTAACTTACAGAAGGCAGGCTATAGAAGGCAGGGGGCGCACTGAGCTCCGAAGACAGGCCACACCAGCAGATAGGACCGGACTGTAGAGCAGGGAGCACACTATGGACACATGCCAGGAAAGGGGAGGCGCTGTAAGGACAGGCCACACCCGCAGACCGGACTGCAGAGCTAGGAGCTCAGTACATAGACATGCCAGGAGCGGGGAGGAGCTCCGAGGACAGGCCACGCCTGAAGGGCGGACCGGACTGCAGAGCAAGCTGGCTGGGTTCGGCGAGGGGACTGCCTGCTATGAAGAGCTGTGGGGATAGCCCGCTGAGAGAGGGCAGGGTGAACTTCGGTGACAGCCTGCAGTGGGATGGGACAGGCTGCAGTGGGATGGGACAGCCGCTGGCACTAACACGGCGGCGTGACAGGTAGAGGACTGGTCAGTATTCGCTCCATAAGACGCAGAGACATTTTCCCCCATATTTTTTGGGGAAAAAAGTGCGTCTTATGGAGCGAAAAATACGGTATATATATATTTTTTTTTTTTTTTTACCCAAATCACAAGCCATCTCATATATCCTTATGACTTGATGATCTTCAGTTGAGTGATATGCAGTATCCAACTTTATTAAATGGACGTTGGTGTGTTAGTATATACCCATGACTTTAATAATATTTCAGTTTAGATATATGCCAAACTTTTGTAATATATTAACTGAAATCTTTCCTCATATAAACTGGGTGCAAGGTTCAGGGAGATATGGCTTTAGGAAGTCTCCAGTTAACAAGTCCTATTGTTTGGTTATTATAGTAAACATTCAGTTGTTTCAGCAGTCTTTGATCACTCAGTTCTCAGTGTCAAGCCAGCAGGGGATAGCTGCAGCTTTGGAACTGCATATACATAGTTGAGTATGAATGTTTGTTATTTTCGAGTCCCACACTTCTCTTTTAATAATGATTGTAACAATTTTAGTAGGATTCTGCAGTGTGAAATTTGCTTTTAGGGCTTGTCAGACCGCTTTCATAAAACACCAAATGACAAGTTCAACAGAAAACCTGCTCGCTCGTGCAGGGATTTCCACTATGCCACCTGCCACTGCTCTTTCTCTAGTCCCTCAGACCATCTCATCCAGCTCTCTGGGCTCTCCTTGCTCACTTGCCTGTATTTTACAGCACCCTACTGCATGGGCACACTCCCTGGCCCTCAATAGGGGATCTCCTGGCATCCCTGGCTCTTTCACTCCTCCGAGACCTCCAGATTCCCTCCCCTATTCATCTCGGTTCTCCAAACCCTTCAAACTCAACTCTCATCTCAACTCTCCCAGCCCTATGGACAAGGAATCTCTCCTCCAGAGTGGAGTGCTATCTCTTGAGTGAAGCACCTTCCCTAATTGGAGCCCACACCTGTCCCTTGATGGATGTACGCTTGTCTCTCGAATGGGAGCACACATCCATCTCCTGAAGGGAGCCCCACACTGTGCCCAAGCTTATTATAGGGCTGTATGTACCTCAACTTGCAGCCAACTGGACACTGGGTTGGATATTTCTCCTCTCCCAAAACTTTGAACTCGCTAAACATCGGAGCCCATTCTAGGAATACCTCTTCTCACAGTTAATTTTCTGGACCCCATCACTGCATATATATGAACCCTGTGTCCAGGCTTCATCTATTTTCACCGTGGCAGGGCCTCACACTGTCTCACAGTATGCACATTTCATACCTGAGCAATACCTGTGGAAGCTGCACCCCACTGTATTATTCACCGCTGTTGAAGTGGTAATCGGAAAACAACTAACGGAAATATTTAGTTATCCCAACTGTGCTCTGCTGCTTAAAATAGGCACTAGTCAAGTGGAGTTAACTATCAAGTCTAGTTAGCTGTGAACATCTAAGGAAAGACAACTGACAGGCCAATTTGACAACTCTCTCCAATACAGCAACAAGGAGCACTTATATGTGTATGTAAAAAGAAAAAAAAAGATTGCAAATATCAGTAAGCTCAAGAACAAACCATAGAAAGCATCCTTTCTGGCACAGACAGCTGGTCATATGCCCCATGTGAGCAACCCCCTGTGGTTGCTGTGCAGAAGGGCAACTATTTGGCACTGGACCCAGAAGATTGCGGCGATTACTGTAGTAGCAGCAATTACGTCAGTCATTTCTCTGTCGCACCGTACTGGACAAAGTTCGGCACACATTAACGGGTGAGTTATAAGCTGCACTTTTAACACTCCCTCATCTAAACCCTCCCATCATGCGGTCCTCATTTTTTGCTACCGTAGTATCAATAGGTGATGGATTCATCCCTCTGAGAGAGAAAATTAGTAGTTTAGTAGGAACAGAAAATCCTCTCAACACTTTTTACTGGGCATGTTTTATAGCAAAAAGTCCAAAAAATAGGTTGTCTCAAAATTGTCAGTCTTTTTTTTTTTTTTTTAATAGCGCATAAAAAATAAAAATCAAACAGACAATCAAATAACACCGAAAGAAAGCTCAATGCATGGGGAAAAATAGAACCTAAATTTCATTTGGGTGCAGTGTTGCATGACCGTGCAATTGTCAAAGTACCGCAGTGCCGTAACGCAAACTGCTTCTGTAACTGCTTCCTGACCACCCTATAGCAGATATACTGCTACAGGACGGCACAGGTGCGCAAAATCTTCACACTCCCGCGGTTTTCATGCCCCTCCCAGATAGCGTCAGATTGCCCGCCAGTACACCAGTAATCACATTTAACCCCTTGATTGCCAGGAACACACTTATACACAATAAACCTCTATTGCTAGTATAGTGTCTGAATGGATCAATATCTCTGATCAGATCAGCACTATACCAGCGTTCAGATTAGTATAGTGTCACCAAAAACACAGGGTTAGCAGGATCAGCCCCGGCAACTGCCAGCAGCTGCATTTAGCCACTACGACTACCCCCCCCCCCCCCCCCCAGCAAGTGCAGTGTCAGTAGGTCACTGTCACTTGCCGCATTGCACACAAAATCGCAGTGTTAGCAGAATCAGGCCTGATCTCTGTTAGCACTTGCCGGTAAATGTTGATGACTTTCATATGTAGCAGAGTGCCAGTACTAGTGCCGCTCTACCTTTTGGTGAACTGGCGAGCACCTGCAGCCTAGTAGTACATCCTGGTCTTTCACATACCAGCACTGCAGTATCACTTGGTGACGTGGCGAGTCCCATAAGTGTAGTACAAGCTGGTAACGTGGCAAGCACAAGTATTGTCGCGCAACCACCAAGAATTTGCACACACAGCCCATAGTGCCCATAGTATCCTTCCGGATGTGTTTGCAAATCCGGATTGGCAGCCCACAAATTCTGCCACACCCGTACTTCCCCCATTTTCTGCCCAACCCGGAATTCAGGTGGAAACAAATTTAACTACTCCCCTTGAGTTTTTTGGAGCTGTTTTTCACGAACGATTTGTATGCATTGATTGTGGATCAGAGCAATTTATTTGCACAATTTATTGCCGCCAACCCAAATTCAAACCTTGTCAGACCATTTGCATGGAAACCCAGTACGGTTTCTGAATTTAAATTTTTTTTGGGCCTAACCTTCAACATGGGCATTACTAAAAAAAAATGAATTGCGGTTGTATTGGTCCACAGACCGAATTCATCATATGCCCATGTTCTCTGCTGCCATGGCCAGGCATAGATATGAGAGTATAATGTGTTTTATGCATTTCCAATACAACACACTCTGTCATCCTCGGGGTGACCCTGAATTTGACCGGCTCCACAAAATTCGGCCCCTCGTAAATCGCCTTAACCAAAAATTTGCAGATGTCTATACTCCCCAGCAAAAAATCTGCGTTGACGAGTCCCTGATTAATTTTTCTGGCCGCCTTGCATTCAAACAATTTCTCCCCAGCAAGCGTGCCAGATATGGGGTCAACATGTATAAGACCTGTGAGAGGGCAACAGGCTATACATATACGTTTTGGATTTACAAAGGAAAACATAGTCATATCGAGCCCCCCGGATGCCCAGACTACATGGGGAGCAGTGGCAAGATGGTGTGGGACTTGGTGTCAATCCTTTTTCCATATGGGGTACCACTTGGACTACGTGGAGAATTTTTATTCAAGCATGCCACTATTTAGACATTTATACAATCTTGGAATTGGCGCATCTGGCACCATGCGACCTAATGTGTGCCCACCATTAGAAGACGGAGCAATGGGTGCCCCATATCAAGCTGCTTTCTGTGGAGGCACCCGACAGGAGGAAAGGGCCAGGAGAGCCTGCGGGAGACCTGAGAAGAGGAGGATCCAGGCTGCTTTGTCAAAACCACTGCACACAGTAGGTAAGTATAGCATGTTTTTTATTTTCCAAAAAAAAAAAAATTAGAAAAATGAACCTTTAGAATCGCTTTAACTGACAATTGCGTGGTCATGCAATGCTGTACATTTTTTGCACTATAAACAAAGAAAAAACTAAAATTATGAAAAAAAAAATTCTAATTTTTGTTATAAAAATATACAATAAACTCAGTCATAAATTTAGGCCAAAATGTATTTTGCTAAATGTCTTTGGTAAAAAAAATCCCAATAAGTGTATATATTGATTTGTGTGAAAGTTATAGCATCTAGAAACTATGGTATGGATACTGCAATTTACATAGCTTTTAATTTGACTGCCTTTCTTGAAGTGCTAAAATACTAGGGCAGTACAAACTCCTCCAAATGACTCCTTTTGGGAAAGTAGACACCCTAAGATATCTGCTGAGAGGCATGTTGCACCCATGAAAGATTTTTTTTTTTTTCTAGTTTTTGGAAAATGACAAAGTTGTAATGGTATATTGCTCACACATGCCATGAGTATATGTGGAATTACATCCCAAAATAAATTTTACTACTTCTACAGAGTATGGGGATACCTACATGTGTGAGACTTTTTGTCAGCTGAACCGCATACAGGAGCCCAAAATCCAATGAGAGCCTTTGAAAGCCTTTTGGTGCATAAATTCCTCGTTTCACTTCCTCACTGCCTGTCACAGTTTCAGAGGCTCTGACATTCCAGGATAGCCCCCTACAAATGACCCCTTTTTTGGAAAGTAAACACCGCAAACTATTTGCTGAGAGGCATGTTGAATCAGTAGAAGAATTTATTTTTTTTACCACAAGTCTTTGGAAAATGACAAAAAAATAATTTTTTTTTACACAA